GCTCGGCGGTGCTCATCGTTTGTGTGCGGCTCTGCGGGGAGGCCTGGATTGTAGATGGGTTTGCTCCCTCCCCCAGCAATGTGCGAGTTGTGAATATTGCCCAGCACCGAGTTCAGGCCCTGTTGTGCGAGGCACCGTACCACTCCATAGCAAAATCCCTCGCCTGAAACAGCCTTGGGAAGAGAGGGCATCTTGTTCGACGCAGCCTGGCGGGTTGATAGGGCAGCTGGGAGTCCAGCAGCTGAAATACCGCGGGCTGTATAGATCCGAATGATCTTGGAGCATGATGGGGTAATGGGTCAATGAAAAATGTGTTACTTTGGCTTTTGGGGAACATAAACCACCTGAAGACAGACAGACAGACCTGCAGCCACCTCTCCCCTCGTGCCAGATAATTTCAATCATCCTTTTTTGCACAAGGACTGCTCTTCTGGCAGTCTGGATGGTCACGAAGTTGTGCTGTACAGCGGAGGCTGGGGCTATAAAGTAACCAGCTAACCGAGGCAGGTACGGTGGCAGGAGAAAAGGAAGAGCCACAGGGAGGAGAGGAGAGACGTGGCAAGCTGAGAATGACCACTGAGTTTCAGGCAGTTCTTCTGGTCTTCCAGCAAGGAGAGGCTCCTCCTTTGGAGGCAGAGAGCTGTTTTCTGTCCCTACTGGGAAGAATATCGATGAGGCAGCCGGAGCTGGGTCGATTCCCTGAGCTGCCTTCTGGGGATCTGGCGGCTGCTCGATGACCTCATCTCATCAAGGTTTCAGCAGCCTTGCTCCCCTCCTCCTCCCACCGCCCTCCTCCAGCCCCGTCCTTTGGAAAAGGTGAAGGATGGAGTGTGCAGGAGGCTAAAATCCTTCTATCGATCCGTAGTCTGGAGAGCAATTAACGCAAGCCTTCCAGCGCCGCTCCACGACCCGAGCCCTCGCTGGTGTGCGGGAAGGAGGGGGTGCGTGCACGGGGGGAAGGGGAGAGGGCTTAGAGAGTGGTGGCAAAACTGATCAAACCTGTAGGTGGGCTGGCTGCCAAGGGGGTTTGCCTGCCACGGCAGCCTGGCTGCTGGACTGGCAGCAGAGGTTTCCCTTACTGGGATGGCCAGAAGGGTTGCTCTCCCTGACCCGCTCATCCTTTGGCTTCTTTTCTGAAGCAGCTAGATATCAGGAGGAGGGAGGGAAATTCGAAATGGATTGCGGCACGGGTGGCGAGGGCTTTTGTGTGGACACCTGTCTACAAGCTGCTGGCCTGGGCTGGTGGATTCTTCTCCGTCCCCACACGCTGGGGCTCATCTGGTGAGATGCTCTGTAATCCATTACCAGTCTCTCGGACCGTCATTTATCATAGGGCAAGACAGAGGAGGCCTGGCAGGGAATAGATGCTGCCCTTTATGCATCCTCGCAGTCCAGCAGGATCCAGTGACATGTCATTATTATAATGGAAGGTGCGTCCCTTCCAGCCGCTTGGCGCCGATTTGTTCTCATTCTCCAAACTGCCAGAGCAGCGCCGAGTGGGTGCAGCCGCACACAGCGATGGAGCAGACGGTGCAGCATCTTCCCAGGGAGGATAAGAGCCCTTCTCAGTCTTCAGAGCTCCAAGGGCTGAGCTCTTCTGCATTCACCATGAGATTCGGGGCTTTTCTTCAGGAAACAGGGGTGTTTTGCCACTAACTTCAGTGGAAATGAGTTTCCACCCTCTCGTTTTTAAGTTCTGTGGCACAGAAATTGCTAATAGGCCAGAACCCAAAGTATTGGTATTTACCTTTCCCTTTCCAAAGAATATTTCCACCAGTCAGTCCCTATTTCGCTGGTATAAATGGGAAGGGAAAACAAACTCTCTGAGATAAATATTTTGGCCATATTCTATTTCTCTGTGTGTGGGTACATGGAAAAAATTTCTTGTTCCCGTAGAGGGGGCCTGTCTTGCCCTCAGTCCTGGACACAGCAGGCTTACTGTGTGCCTCTGTGTGTGCCTTGACCTCTCCCTTCTTTTCTTCTGGGGGCACGAAGAGACAAAGGAAAGAAAACCACAGAAGAGAAAGGCTTCTGCAGGAGCAGCGGTTGCTAGCCCGGCTCTGCTGGCGATGTCCAGCAAACGACCCCGCATTCGCTGTGCTTCCAGGAGCACAAGCACATGTGCAGGAGAGGGACCGTGGGGAAGCCTTACACCTCTCTCCCCATCGCTGCTGGTTTGAAGGCAGCAGACGGGCTCCATCGCTGCCCACGCCGGAGGGGACCCAGTGCACAGTGTCACTGGCAGGGACCCATCGGCCGCTCTCCGTGCAGGCTGAGCTTAAACCCGGAGTTTGGGGCTGGCTGGCGACTGGAGAATTCATTCCCAAGCACTGTGTTGTTGCAATTCAATCCTTGGCTTGCTGTTGGAATAAGGAAGTACCTAATTTTAAAGCAGTTGGCTGTTACAGTCAGCTCCCCTCGGAGACGCTGGCTCTGGCTGCAGATGGAGGTGTCTCGCCCGAGCATTGACTGTGCCTGGAATAATTGAGTTCAGTTTCACTTCCTCTATTTACCGAGCTGCAGCCGCTCTTCCAAAAAGGAGAGAGAGAATT